TAAAATAATTGGTGGTGTGGGTGGTGGTTAAACTTTAGTCTCTGAAAATAGACTGTATAAGTATAAATTCCAGGTGTGATTAACAGGCAAATCTATGCAAATCTCCCTACTCCTTGATATTCCCTGTGGGACCTTTAACAACTTCCTTCCTATCGCTGTCTCAGTTTCCTGAATAACAGAATAACATCACCTACTCCATCCAGGTAGTATGACACTCAAAGGCAATTGCCAATAAGACCTGCAAGTAATGGGTAGAACTCCATAAACGACGGCTATTTCCATTACATGAGGTTCATTGACACCTGAATAATTACTCTTATAAGTTAAAAGTGGAGCAGGTCTTTTCTCATGGGTGTCCCAAAACCATCTAAATATGTCCTTCTACCCGAGATCTTAGATGGCTTTATTTTGATCCTCTGTTCAATACCAGCATGGGAGCCTTAAAAGACAGCACTAGAAACGCTCATAAAGCCTCCTGTATTTATCACTGACCCCAACACAAAGGTCTCCGTGAAAACCCACGGGACTGTAAGGCACTCATCTTTTATATTAGATTTGTTCTCTTTTGAGTTACCTTTTTTTTGTCCAAAAAAGGTGACTTTTTATAGTTTAGATCACTCAAACTAACTGTGTAGTAGAGAAGGTCATGGCTCTTTTCAATGATTCTTACAAGAAGACAATTGGAAGACCAAACAAGCCTGGATTCCTTCCTTTTATTAAGTTGGCACTTCAGGGGGAATGCTAAATGAACATTCAACCCTCTTCACCTTTTCCACTTCCCTCATTCCAGAGAGCGACTGACACTGAGCCTTGTCTGATAAGCTCCACACTAGTTAGCCAAACACTTGGCAAGTGTGCATCCATATTAATGCTGCCAGGTTGAATAATCACTGTTTGGACTGCTGTTAAAATATTTTAATATTATAATTGAGTGGCCCCTGCCCCTTTATCCAAAAACTAAATTTATCCTAGTGACAAGCCTTAATTTTCTGATGTATTTGAGATTTGTATCCAATGTTAGGAGAAACCCAGCTGAAACTACAGGGCTTGTGTCCAGCTATATTAATCGCATCCTGTTACTCAGCTTGAACCTTTAATTATATCATTGAAACTACTCTGCTGAGCTGTTTCAATCTCCATTCTGTAGGTAGTCTTTGCATTTTGTTCTTCTATAATACCAAAAAGATAACCTAATAATCTTTAATATCTTATCTGGTTTTAATGATTCATAATTCTAAGTATGCCTTTCTATCCCAACTGCATATTCAGACATGAAAGCTAGGAAGAAAGGGCATGGGAAATGTTGATGAGTCTGAACCCCCAGAAATAAAAGACAACATAGGAGATGTCTATGAACTACCTAAAAATTGATTTAGAAAAGAAGAGACTTGAAAGATAGGTCTGGCACCATTTGCTTTACATAATAGATCAAGGTCAACAATTATGATCTCTTTATGAGTTTCTTGAATTTATAATATTCAACTTCCCCAATATGTGGTCATGGTTGTTGTTGGAATGCCTATCAGCACCCTGAGGCTTTATCATAAAAGCCTCAAAATAAGAAGAACTGTGTGTTGGTTTATGGTATGTGATGGGCTGAGACCTGAGACAGAATAAACAGGAGATGTTGTCTGTTTTCTGTGAATTCTGGAGACAGAAGACCCCACAGACTATGGCAGATTGGCAGAGAGGAAAGTTGGTTTGGTTCAGTCTTGTTAGGAATTTGCTCCCAATCCAGAAAAACACTCCAATCTATAGGTAAACAGATCAATTCATAACACTGAGCATTTTTCAGTAGTTGTTATCTGCTGACCTCCATTCACCAACCCATTCCTAGTCCCTTCTCTCATCCGTCCTTTTCCTAGCCTCTCCAGCCTAGTTTACAAAATGCAGGTTGGACATCCTAATCTGAAAATTTGAGCACCAATGTGATGCCACAAGTGGAAAATTCCACACTTGACTTCATGCAATGGGTCACAATGAAAACACAGTCTCAACTTTATTTCATACACAAAATTATTGAAAGTATTCTATAAAATTATTTTGAGGCTGCATGTATAAGGTATACATGAAACAAATAAATATCATGTTTAGACTTGGGTCCCCTTCCCACGATTCCTCATTGTGTATATGCAAATATTCCAAACTCTGAAAACAAATTCCAAATCCCAAACACTTCTGGTTCCATTTTGGATAAGGGATACTCAATCTGTACCTTATTTTCTTTTTGTTGTTGTTCTTGAGTTGGAGTCTCACTCAGTCACCCAGACTGGAATGCAGCGGCCACTCCCGGCCACCGCAGCCTCGCCTGCTGGGCTCCGGCGATCCTTCCTCCTCAGCCTTCCAAGTAGCCGGAATTACAGGCATGTGCTACCATGCCCGGCTGATTTTTTTATTTATTGTAGAGATGAGGTCTCGCTGCCCAGGCGGTTCTTGAACCCGCGGGCTCAGGCAATCCACTCACCTCAGCCTCCCAAAGGCGCGGGATTATAGGCTGAGCCACCGAGCCCGGTTTGTACCTTATTTTCTAGACTCTGAATGCGTCCCCCATTTCTCCTGATCATGTGAGAAGCACTCCCTATCTGACAAATCCCTGGAAACTGTAGAAGGAAACATAGAGGAAGGGTGAAGGATTCAGATCCTGGCTGTGTAAGTAAACGCAGAGCTGAGCCAGAATGAGGCCCATCGATTTATCTCATGTCTCCACAGGAAAAACACATCCACGTGAAAAATGAATGGTTTATCTGTGTAACATCTGATAAGTAGCTTTTACTATATCCTTATGATTAATCTTTAGGAACAATTATCTGGATGTTTAGAGTCATTTTGGTATGGCTGTAGCATAGGAATTAAAAACCTGACTCTATAGCTGTATTGTCCAAAAGAGAGGCTACATGTGGCTGTTGAGGACTTGAGAGGTGGTGGGTCCAAACTGAGAGGTGTCATACGTATCAAATGCACACTCAGTTTCAAGGGCTTAGTGCCAAGAAAAACCCCAGAATGTCAAGTATCTCATGAGTAATTTTTCTATTGGTGGCATGTTGAAATGGTAACATTTTTGATAAATTCCACTAAATAATTTATTTCATGACAAATAATTTCACTTGTTTTATTTTCGCTTTTTAAAATTTGGTGGCTAGAAAATTTAAAATGGCACATGTTGGCACTCATATTTCTGTTGGATGGTGCTTCTTGGTCCCACCTGGCTTCACAGTGTAGCATCCGTACCTACTAGTTTTATGTTCTCAAGTAGCTAATTATTTCTTCTGTGAAATGGGAATGATAACAATTCCTGCTTCTTAAGGGACTTCTTTGCGCCCTTGTAAGTCAGCAGAAGGGAGCTATCCCCTGAAATGGGGCCTGACCTTGAGCAAGATAGCTGAGGGAATCAGCTGTTGGGAGGTCAACTATACTCACAACAGCTGAAGGAGTGAGTGCCCTGAGGGTGCTTCACGTCATCCACAGCTACTTCTGTTTGTACAGTGGAAGAAACTTTCGATGGAAAGCGAAAATAATATAGCATAATGAAACCACCAAGTTTAATACAGATTCTTCTAGTATATGCAGTTTGACATCTAACTATGGTAACTTGCTTCCAATGCTGCATAATGAAAATTAAGTGTCTTCTGTGTACATACATTATTTAGAAGTTTATTGATGTTCTTTCCGAAAAATAATTAGACAAAAAATAAGGATGCCTATCCTCGTACTTGATAAGGCAGGTAGGAAATATCCATATTTCTAATTGCTGGATAGAAGCTAACTGTTGAAACAAGACATCTGAAAAGCAGATAGCAACACTAGATAATATACGTTAAATGCCTAATGAATAGCATAGACAATTTTTTTCAGAACAGATAGAAATCACAAGGGCTGAATAAACTGATTGTTTATAAAAGAAGCCTTTCAAGCAGGAGAAACAAAATGAGCAACACACAAAGATATGAACAAAAATGGCCTGCTTATACAACATACAGACCGGTTTATGTGATATGAAGGTTTCTGATGGACAACACAGGAGAAACATCTAGAAGCATAAATTGTCATAGAACTGGAATGTCACCACCTCAAACTTGGGTTCTAGGACGGTTGAGTTATAAGTGCCCAGTAGTCATTTAGGAAGATCAGTGTGGCACACTCTGCCAAAAAAGCTCTAACTGCATCCTTTGCAAAACAGTGCTGATTGAACTATTTTAACCCCATACCACCAATGACATTTTTCCCACTCTATTAATAATTGAATCTTCAATACATGGGACCTTCATTGGGTAAAGGCTTTGTCTTAGAAAAGAATATACTACTAATTGCCATGTACTATTGAGAAGGATGAGTTCTAATACAGGAAGTCTCGTCACGTGATTTATTCGATGCTTCTAAAGTTGCGTTAAAATGTCAAAATATGACAAAAAAGCATTAGGAAATGGTGTGAGATCAAGAAACAGAAAAAAATATGGTATCTTAAGAAGAGAAAAGATCTCCTTTTGGACACTAATAAGAAAAGTGTAACTGGATGGGACTGTGCTGCCTATGTCAATTGTTTAATCTCTCTGTGCCGAACTGGGCACGGTGGCTCACGTCTGTAATCCCAGCACTTTGAGAGGTCGAGGCAAAAGGATTGCCTGAGTCCAGGAGTTCGAGACCGGCCTGGGCAACTTGGCAAGACCTCATCTCTACAAGAAATAAAAACATTACCCGAATGTGGGGGTGTACACCTATGTTTCCAGCTACTTGGAAGACTGAGGCAGGAGGATTGCCTGAACCCAGCAGGTTGAGGTGGCAGTGGTGGTGAGCACACAACTGCACTCCAGCCTGGGTGACAGAATGAGATTCCAACTCAGAACAAAACAAACAAACAAACAAACAAAAACTCTCATCTAATTTTAAGGCTTGAACATGTAAACTTTATCCAAAAGAATGTTTTGCTTGAAACGTACAACCCCATACATTCTCTTTCTCCTGTAACGTGCTCTGTGTTCTGTATTTGCCATTGGTTTTCTCAGACTCAGATTAGCCCCAAGGAAGGGTGGCAAGTGTACAGCTCAGCACAGGACCCTGATGGCAGATGCATTTGCACCGTGGTTGCTCCGGAACAAAACCTGTGTTCCCGGGATGCCAAAAGTAGGCAGCTTCGCCAGCTCCTGGAAAAGGTAGGTGTCCTGTGTCCCCTATGTATTTTTTTACAGAAATTGACCATTCTTTGAAAAGGAAATAGAGTAGAGTAGGTCATGGGGAGGGGAGTCCCTTCTGATTTGTGTCTTCCTTCTCAAATAAGCTTTCTCTTGCTCCTTGAAAGGATTGCCTCAAACCTCCTGCTATGTTGTCCCATTTCTATGACTTACTTTTCTCCAATTTCTTTTTTTTTTTTTTAGATAGATTCTCACTTGCTCAGGCTCCAGTGCAGTGGCACAATCATGGCTCACCTCAACCTAGATCTCCTGGGCTCAGGCAATCCTCCTGCCTGGGCTTCCTGTGTAACTGGGACTACAGACACATACCACCGTGCTTGACGAATTTTTTTTTTTAATTCAGAAAAAACTTCTGCTATATTCAGAAACCAGCATAGGGAAGTCTGAAAGAGGATAACTGAAAGAACCATTCACTGGTACCCTCCGCCCAACGACACATAAATAACCTTTCATGAGCTGACTTTTATCTGTAAAAGAGAATAAATCAAGGGCATTCTGCATTTGATTGTTATGAATCCAACTTAAGTAAATTATGGAGAGACTGGTACTGAATGAAATTGAAGAGCTTAATGTTCAAAGGAATGACGTGGAGAATGATGATAAATACTTGGAATTATTCATTATCTGTCCGGATAGCTTGCATATTGCATTGCATGTCATTATTTTAACTTTCTTGCAAGGTTGTTAATGAGATCCCAGATTATGAGCTCAAGGAGCCTAGTGTGTGATCCTGAGAGTTGAGGCTGAATTTCTGGCATCAGAATAAGGCTTACTGTTTCTTTTCTTCTTCTTAAGGAGACACTGACTAGATATTAAGATATATGATAAAGAACTTGTCTTAAGAAGGCAAGGTTGGCCGGGCTCAGTGGCTCAGCCTGTAATCCCACACCTTTGGGAGGCTGAGGTGAGTGGATTGCCTGAGCCCACGGGTTCGAGACCCGCCTGGGCAGGCGAGACCTCATCTCTACAATAAATCAAAAAATTAGTCGGGCGTGGTAGCACGCGCCTGTGGTTCCAGCTATGTGGAAGGCTGAGACAGAAGGATCGCCGGAGCCCAGCAGGTCGAGGCTGTGGTGGCCGGGAGCGGCCACTGAACTCCAGTCTGGGCGACAGAGTGAGACTCCAACTCAAAAAAAAAAAAGAAGGCAAG